GTGTGTGTGTGTGTGTGTGTGTGTGTGTGTGTGTGTGTGTGTGTGTGTGTGTGTGTTGAAGCGGGGCATCGGTGATTATTTACGAGAAATGAGAGCCGGAGTGAACCGCAGTGGGAGGGGCGACTGAGATGCCGCATTTTTCTGAATGAAATTACTCCCCATACATCCCCCTCCCCTTGTTCTCCCCGCGTCCATCAACGCCGGCTCCTGATTGGTCGAGCCTCCCAGGCGCTGACGTCAGGCAGCCTCTCTTGTGGACGAGTCCGCGCGCAGGAGCATCCATTCTGCCTCCCATACGCGCTCCGGAGAGATTGGAGAAGAAGGAGAAGAAGGAGAAGAGATGCGAGCGACGCCAAGTAAGAGTTTGGCACAACTTCGATAAAGAGCGGAGCTGCGTCTTTCACTGGGACTGTCCTCATTTTAACTGGTGCCAAACCTAACAGCGGACAACATCACCTAATCTCCATCATCTTCCTGGATCTTATATTGAAAGACCACCAATCTGCTCAGCGCTCGCCAAGGATTGACTGGTGTTAATAATAAGGTAAGCAGAATGATTCATATGTATGGATGAATGTGCGACGTGTGCGTGTGCGTGCATGTGTTGGGGACATCCTCTGTGGTGCAGTGAACCCGCAATTGTGTTATACAACAGGGTCCACCGCACCAGGAGGGGGGATATACCTCCTCACTCTGGGATTGGAGAGGGAGGAGGAGGGAGGGGATGAAAGATTCCTCCTGTGTGAGCAAGGGGGGAAAAAAGCATTAATTAATCACTGGTAGGATTTCTTTGCAGGACATGCAGTAGCTTACATTTTGACAGAGAACAAGACAAGCAGATAAGATACCAGAGAGCACAAGCATCTGAGGCAAATTCCTTAAGCAGCCCTTAAAAAAAAAAAAAGGCAGGCTAAAAATATGCAGCTGTGCAGCAGAATGTGTGAGAGGCTTACACAGTGTGTCCCTCTTGTTGAGCACCACATTTTGACATTAACAAGGGGGAAACCTCAGGTTGTAGCTGGCAGGATTGATGTAAAAGTGAACTCAGATTCCCAGCTGCTTAATGTTACATCAGTGCCACTCTTTCTAACAAATTGTATTGAGCCTTCATATTGATTGAGGCTGTAATGTGCGTGACTTCCCGTAAGACTACAGGCTGTGGCGTCACTGACACTTCAGAAACCAGCAGCACTAGTGTATGAAACATGATAGTCAAAGGGTCCAGCTTCTCTACTCTACAATAGTGTCATTTAATATCACAAATGATGAGAGCAAGAAAGCTTCACTAACACCACTTGCTGCTCTGATAGTGAAAGTATGGATTTTTTATAGCTCAGTTGAATCAAATTGATTAGATTAAGTGCTCTTCTTCTCGGCCTGGTGCCACATCCGGCATCCAGCAGCCTCAAACCACAGCTTCTGGTACAGAAGGCTGTTTAATGGACAACTGGAAATGACTCATCAGAGACAATGTTAACATATTTCTGTTTTTTTTTCTCTCTCTCTTTCTACTAGATTGTGTTTGTGTGACCAACCATGATCCTGAACACCTCAGACCTGGGCTGGGATGAGTCCTCAGGTGCTGAACCCTTGTTCCCAGTGGACCAGCCGGACAGCTCACCTCCATATGAAGTGCCCCCTCTCACGGTTTGGGGAGTGGCCCTCTGTGTTTCAGGAACTCTCATCGCCGCCGAGAACGCAATCGTGGTCACCACCATCCTGGCCACCCCGTCCCTTCGCGCCCCCGTCTTCTTGCTGCTGGCCAGCCTCGGACTGGCTGACCTCCTGGCAGGTGTGGCCCTCATCCTGCACTTCCTCTTCCTGTTCTGCGTGGAGCCCAGCGATTGGTCAGAGCTGCTGACCTCGGGACTGCTGGTGACGTCGCTGACCGCCTCACTCTGTAGCCTCATGGGTGTCGCCCTGGACAGGTATCTGTCTCTGAGCCATGCACTCACCTACGGCTCTAGCCAATCACGACGCAGAGCCGCCATCCTCCTGCTGCTGGTCTGGCTGGGCGCGGGCGTCATTGGGGCGGGACCGGCGATGGGATGGCACTGTCTGGAGGAGCCAAATTCCTGCTCCGTAGCACGACCTCTGACTCGGACGTATCTGTCACTGCTGTGTGGTGGCTTCCTTGTGGTCGTTGTGGTAACCCTTCAATTGTACGCCGGGATCTGCCGCGTGGCGAGGCGGCACGCCCACGCCATCGCCACCCAGAGGCACTTCCTCCCTTCCAACCAACCATATGCAACCAAACACGGCAGCGGGAGGGGCTTCTCTCGGTTGATCCTGGTCCTCAGCGTGTTCGTGGGCTGCTGGATGCCTTTCTCGCTGTGGGGGCTGCTGGGAGATGCGTCCAGCCCTCCTCTGTACACCTATGCCACCTTGGTGCCAGCAGCAGGCAGCTCCCTGCTCAACCCCATACTCTACAGTCTAAGAAACAAAGACATTCGCAAGGTGCTGCTCCACGCCTGCTGCCCACACAGATACTCACACAGCACACACATACACTACCCTGTTGATGTGTAGACTGCCAAACCTCCGCAGACTTGAACCAACACAGAAACTATGCCAGACATATCACTGTTTGTGTGCCAAGATCCACACATAGCTGCACTGACTGATATCCAAATCCAGAACACGAAGTCTCAAATACAATACGTACTCCCACACACACACTCACACATACACACACGCAGAACTTTTCAGAGATGAAGTCCTTCTGCAAATCAGAATGTACTGAACTGTCCGGGCTGGCTGCGATCTTGAGACTGAAGATTAAACGTACTGTCCTGCGTGTACTTTGTGCCTCATCCTCAGTCAACTGTAGCTCCACTGGAAGAATAAAACAATCACAGGGACGTTAATCAGAAGTGGAAATAATGAGTATTGGCACTTTAAGACGAAGGGGAAGATGTGGGTTTTAAATAGAAGCCTATCACAGTGTAATTACATGTGTGACCCAAAGCCCAATTTTATTTACTTGAAAGTCGAGAAAACACGATGTTCTAGATCTTTGAGAATATATTTTGCACACACAGTTAAAGGCACTTTGAAAGGTACTGACCATATGTTCGTGTTGCACAACCTTTTTGAAATGAATGAATATTTTATACTGATGAATAATAAATATGCTTTTTTTTTTCCTACTGTGTGATGTCAGCACTCTTCTCTTCAATGCTGCCGGAGCTTTTAGTGTTTGTCTCTTTCCATCCACCTCGTTTGTTAACTCAGCCAGACAGACTGCTGCTGCTCCTTTCCCTGTATCCTAAATTATTTGGTGGTGAAAACAATCGGCAACGTTATTACAGCCACCCTGCACCATTTTTTAAAAAATCTACAAAGCAGCCACGGTGTGAGGATGCAGTGATTATGCAAGAGGTTTTCTCTCCTCCTCCTCCTTCTTTTCAACTTTTCTCCAGTCAATTCATTTTCACACTCCCTACACAGTCAGCAGCGGCCACTGTGAAAAGGTGTCCCCTGCTGACATAAAGAGGATGAGTCATGGATACAGCATGAGGAGCCTTTTGCTGAGGATTAACACACTAGGAGTCCTGATATTTAGGACATCACAGCTCACACACTGTCCAGACATTCTCACAAAAATCTCAAACAATCACGGAAATTACATCTATCTTTATTGAAATAATAACTATAATCATTTGGAAATTTAAAGCAGGAGAAGCAGAACTTTGGCTAAGCGTGCTGTGTGATTGTGCTTTAACACAGGCAGACTTAAAATAAAAAGGCACTTGACAATATTTGGTCCACACTAAACATCAGTCAGTTCTACATTTGACTTTATCAATCACAGCTGTTAATATTTTTTTGGAAGAGGACCAGTGACCAGTGTGATTAACCAAATTAATGCACAGACAAGGAAATGCAGTATAAAAAAAAAGGCACTTATCGAGCAGCAGGATAAGGCAAAAGGTGCCCTGATTCTATCCAGAACACAGTGATTCAAAGAACAGACTTAGTTCAACCCCAGAAAAGTTTGAAGTACAATTGCAGGAAGAAACACATAGTATATCTAAAATACATTACAAAATAAATCCTGATATTTGTGTTAAAAGTCTGCATATGTTTAGTATGGCGACCTCGTCAAACACCCTTGGTGTCTGAGCCGATTCACCTCCCCTATCACACCGATTAATTAATTCATGAGTTTGTTTATAAGCTACAACAAGTCGATTGTTCCCATGACAACCATAGAAAAAAATAGAAGATTGAATACAAAAAGGGCAGGAAAAAAAACGTGATAAAAACCGTGCTTTAAAAGGGATTTAAAGTGATTGAATTAATTATCTTCAGTAGATATAATTCAAGATGTAACGTAAACTTTACATCTATATTACATACTCTATGAATGAAGGTTTTACAGTTAACACCTTGTGTCTTTCTACTAAATACATACAACTATTGTGAACAGACGAGGTTGCATGTATGTGTGTGCAAATTTCCTCTCCATTATCCGCTGCCATTATGCACTACAGCAGATAAAATCAGGCTCTTGGCCTGCAGCGAAGGAGACCTGATTCTAACAGACACTAGGACAGAGAGGAGATGTGTTTAGGTGAACACACTCAGCAGAGAGACGTGCTTCACATCACATAACACTCTTGCATCACTAACAGCGGTGTGTCATCCAGTGAAAGCATTGGCAAACCGGGACACAACCAGGCACAGTCACACTCTTTGTATTTTTGCACCTCTGATATGAATTATTTTAGTTAAATGAAAATAAATGGGTCAGGGAATGTGAATTGAAATAGGTCACAAGTGCATATGTGTGCACACATACTTAAACTGGCTGACTTACATACAAAAACACACTGACCTCTGGTCTATTTGGACTTGTAGAATGTAATCTGAATGGAAATAAACAGACGTCGTTTAAGGCTGAGGAAAGACACAAGGGTGGTAGTGAAGGTGAAAAGGGATGGCGATCAATCGGACCACTCGTCATCATCGAACTCTGACGAGTCATCCTCGCTGTCACTGCACTCCACAGCGATACGACGTGACAGGATGGCAGCCACGTCGTTGCCAAAGTGATCCCTCTTCTCCTGTTCCCGCTGTGCCTCCACCTTCCGCAGGTTGAAACCTAAAAGGGAGTTAGTTTAATGATTAGAATGAGTGTGTACATAATCTTTTGTTAGCAGCATTCCATCAGTACAGTGTGAAAAATCAATATACAAAAGGTCATTCAAACCAAAGTGTTTCAATTTGTGATTACTGTAACCACTTGTGCAAACCAGGAAAATAGCAAGTGGGAGGATCTCTCCTCTACTTCAGTAGCACCAGCATGCACAAAAAAAACCTTTCATTACAAGTAAAGGTTAAGGAGAATTATTATCAAAGAGTTTCAGGCCACTATCAGCACTATGTAGCGGTATTGTTTTATTTTAGGACCACTCATGACAAACTGATAATTGTTGTTGTGGCAAGTGCTAATACAATGACTAATAATATTAACGCGTTAAAAACGTTAAAATGCAAAGATTTTTTTTCTTTTATATTTTTCTATGTAAGGTTGGTCAGTTTTAACAATCTTATATTATTAAATGTATATTTAAGAAATTAAATAATATAGGATCAGACAGAATCTTCTTATTCACAAGAATGTATTCGCTACAAATGTATTAGCTAGTGTTGCACAGCTAATGTTACTAACATTGCCATTAGCTTCGATGGTATGCCCACAGGTCAAATATCTGTAGAAATGATAAAGCTGCAGAGATGACAAAAGCTCTGACTGATGTAAAACCAATAAATAAGGACTGAGTGGGTTCATGTGTTTTCATGTCAGTGCAACATAAGCTCAGCTAGCTTTTACATGTGTTTGCTTCTCTCCTGCTCTCTGTGCTCACACATACTAAATATGAGTACCATCAAATTCCCAATAAAGTTGTTCTCATTTACACATTTTATTATTTCCTTTCTCAGACAATATGAAAAAGAGACAAAATGCAGCCCAGTAAGACTACAAGCTAACCAGCAGTCACTACATCACGAACGCAATATTGTCTGACAAACTCACCACAAGTTAAAAACAACTCATGCTGTGAACTCTCTGATGTTGTACAATGATCACTCAGAGAGAAAGAAGGTGAGACGAACTATCTTTGCAGTGTTTTGAGCTGAAAAACTGAACAATACACTCTGGGGAAATGGGAGACTTTCATTAACTTGCTGAAAAGAGGCCACAACATAACTTAACTGTAGTCTCTCCCCAGATTTCCAGTCTGACTCCTGTCCTCTGTTCAAACGAAGGCAAAATGCCAGAAAAAAGTTCACATCTCTGCAAGTTTATATCCTGCTTGTTTAACAGGTGTTTGAGGACTTGGTCATCAGGGACAAAGAGACCTCAAGTCCATTTCACTCTGTGCTCTACTCTGTGTACATGAGGAGCCCTACACTACTGCACAACATGAGAGCAAAGACAAAAAAGTCATCACTTACAACCGACGAGTGTCTCACACCATCAAATGAATTTAAAATTCCATAATTACAACAAAAACTATTTAATTGCACTATCCCTGTTTTATGTGTATGTCCTGTACACATGAACATCTGGCAATAATACACATACTTTCCCGTCCAAAACATTCATGCTAAATCTCTTATTGTCAGCTGTAAGTGGTCATCTGCCAAGAAACATATGAATCAGCAAAAAGTACAGATATTAAAAACACAGGGTTTTAAAATCTTTTTAAGAGCTGCTTTGCAAATGTTTTGTGAGAAAAGAAATGCCCTAAACAAGTGGCAGACCTGAAGGATACACAAAATGCTTTTCAGTCACAAACACTGACAACTTACTTTGTCTGGTCACAAGAAAACACACACAAGGTAGAACTTAGTTTCCATTTTTTATACCGTTTGGCAGCTTAATTTGCTAAATTTGTTATTTTTTAAAGGAACTATAAGTAACATTTGCCTCAAATGCAGAAGTAATGTAGAGTGCAAGAACCTAACAATTGTATTTAAGTACATTTTGTGAGCGAACACGCTGGATTACCCTTAAACACACTGTTCCTTACTGATCTCCAACATAGTGAAATCATTGTGAAAGTCAGTCTGTCAGGTGTTATTACTATATTTTACACACAAGTTAACAAAATATGTGCAGCTATTAGTAACTGCTATAGTGTGTGGGAATGATGGTAAGAAAATATTATCACAAGTAATTAAAGAACTCAATAAAATTCTTGTAGTCAATCATTTATCTGATTTATAGTTGAAAAGCCACTAAAAAGCATACTCTAATTATTGGTAATATATAATGTGTATTTTCCTTTTCTACTTTTTATCAAATCAATTAGAAGTGAGGAATACAACTGTCCAGTTTATGCTGACCAGTTTCTTTAGTGTCTTACCTTGTCGGATGGCCTGCAGCAGGTCACTGCGAGCATCAGCGACAGGTTCTGGCGCAGGTGCAGGTTTGGGAGCAGAGCTGGGTGCCCCGGAGGAAGGACGAGGATTATTAAAGGATGGTGGAGGAGGGCCAGGGGGCGGTGGAGGAGGAGG